AATGTGTGCTCTGTCATGTAATGAGAAAAATAAATATAAAAAAATTCAATACCGTAGTAACCCTTAAAAAAAATTATGGTACCAGTAAAAAAAAAATTTTTAAAAGAAGTTCCTTACAAAAAAAAAAAATTTTTTGCGGTCCGAAATTTCCCCACCACCTCCCCCCCCCCCTAACTTTTCTAATGTTCCTAAATCAAAATTATGTTTTTCATTTCCTGTTAATGACTAAGCTGCCTGTAAGAGAAGGTAACGCTTTATAGGGCACTAGTCGCTGGTTTTGAAGAATTCAAAGGACCTTAAGCTTCCACATCGATAAATATCAACTACACACAGATAGATTTATTTCAGAACAGAAAAAAGCCAAAACGCTTAAGTCACATGATATTGCAAACGTCAATTTCACGTGACCCGATGTCACGCTGTAACGCCATACAAGTCCGTAACACTGCCAAAGAAGCTCCCCCAGGGGCAGTTAATTTTATTATGCGTTAATTTGCGCTCGGTGCCATAGCCACTGCTGCCATGGCTATCCCACTAGGAAAGGATACCAAATTCTAATGTAATATAAATCGATTCACTGGCATTCAATGACCATAAGTCAATCGTAAGGCAGTGTTCGACTTAATTTTATGCAATGGTTGCTGCCTGTTACATCCTTCTGCAGAGAATGGCATCTTGAGTAAAATAAACACGTTTCACTTGAACATCTATAAACCCATGCTTTTCCAGGAGATGCTTGTATTCTGAAGCTGATCTCTCTTTTCCACCCGTGGACACCAACATTTGAAGGCTGAAAATGAGAGAAGGCAATGGGCCACGTTTGTCTTCGTTTAAAATCCGTTCGCAAATGAGGAGTCCCCCACCTGAAAAAAATAAAAGAGCAATGAAAAATGGCGCGTTGTTTACCTTTTTATGGCTACAGAGTAGCCTGAATTTCAGACGATTACTTCGAGTCATTTTAAGTCCCTCAGTTACTGAGGGAGTTAAAAACGTCTCTAACATTGTCGAAGTCAGGCTAGCAAGAGAAATGATTGGTCATATGTGCCATTTCTATATGCGCTGTCAACCGTTACTGTGTAGGCTACATGCTAGATTAAAACGCCCTTTGTTACGAAAGCACTTCTTCATCAGTCAGTTCGCGGGCTCATTTCACTTAAAGACTAAAGACTGTGAATTCAAAATTAAAGTTCGTTTTGGTTACAATTCATGAGGGAAAAACATTGTTAAGCTGTTACGGTGTTTCTTGTATGTTTGGACTTTAACATGGGTTTGTTAAGTGTTTTGTCGTCACAAAGCCACGATTTTTGACGCTCGTGTGTAGGATTTCACTCCCATCGATCATTTACAGCGTTCCTGCTTGAACTGTAATCCTTGATGCCCTCTCAGTCTGTAATTAAACCAGAGACATAATAAACCTCGTTTTCATGATCCGAACTGTAAGTTACGTGCGGAACCTAGTATTTTCTGCTTGGATTTAATTTTACTTCCGTACGTGCGTGCTGCATCCCTTAAAAACGGTAAAACCTTCTTTCTATTAAAATTACCTGAAGGTAAGCACTTATAGACGTTTGAAAGAATCAAGTCAACTTTATCCTCTGACCAGTCGTGGAGAACGTGAGACAACACATACAAATCGGCCTTTGGTATAGTTTCAGGTTTGAAGAAATCGCCGACCGTAAAGGAAACATTGGCTTGATTTGGGCAAGCTTCAACTGATGGTCGGAAGTGATGAGCTGAAGTTACGGCTGGCTCCAAGTCACAAACTGTTATCTTCATTTCGGGGTAGTGCTAACAGAGAGCATAGGCTAGAGTGCCCACAGCCCCTAGAGCAGAGAGAAATAGGGAATTTTAAATTTCCATTTTAGCAAACAGAGTCATAGCTCGTTTACTGTTTACCACATTTACAACTAATTTTTCGAAAATCTTGCTTGGATAGAATTTTTGTGTAAACCCAGCGAAAAATTCTTGGCAGACACGTGACCTCAAAAAAGGTAGCCGTGTTTTCCCCATCGGGAATATTAAAAACGGTAGTTAACGCGTTTCTCCATCTCTATCTTATTTCTATTTCAGGCTGTTGCGGCCATTTTTCTGGTAAATAGGAGCGATTTACACAATTTCTTAATGCAATATGAACAGAAGTCTTGAATTTTGCCTATAATTTGATGCAAACCCCTACGACTGGTTTTCTGCGTAAATGGGCATGCGGACAGTTCCATACGACATGGGCGCAAGCTTGTCCTTTAATTTGAAGAGATAAATAAATGAATAAATAAGTAAACGGAGATTATAACAATGTTTTTTACTATAGAGTTTCGTGTTATAAATTTTCTCTACTAAATTGGCCTAAGTATCCCCAGCCAGGGCTGCGAGTGTAATTAAAATGGGACAGCAGTTTAAGAAAAGAAGATACGTTTGGAATGAAAGTCTGACTATATTATGCAAATTATTGCCCCCTTAGGGATTTCGCCCAGAGGCGAAATCCCAAGGAGGCACCCTAGTAACTCGCGCGTATATTAAGGACAGTACTTACAGTTCAAATATACAGTCAGTATACTAGAAAAAATCTCGATTTGCTCGAAGTGGGGCCGCAAGGAATCGGTAGGTAATGATGACGTTTCTATTGTTTGCGCCCGCAAGTACGAAATGGTTAGGATGACGTAAAGACAGAAAACTCGAAGGGACCGCTCAGGTAGATTTTGTGACATTTATTGTGCAGTCATACTTCAATACTCTTTTCCGTTACGCAGTGACACTCTGTGGAGCAGTTGTTTTGAAAGTTATGGCCCAAAAGACACTTGTTAAGCGCAGGGGAGGTTATAAGGTGCGTTTAACTGTGTAGATATATAAACACTTGGAGAGTTTGCCAGACACGAGTTCACAAATCTTTGATTTATATTGGAAACCTTGCCAGACACTCTTTCTCTCTCTTTGACCGGAATAAGACTCAGCCCCAAACAAGCAAGACGAGTGAACAACGGCTAGCTTATCACTAGCAGATTGACGGACATTTACTGAAATTCGCCGACAATCAAATTCTGTGCTGACTTATTCCCTGTCTTTTTAATTTCTAAGGCTTACTTTCCGGCAAATAAAATGAACTGAATGTAAAAAGGGAAAGAGAAATAGCGAAAAATTTAACTTCTAATAAATCTTTTCTTATGGTTTAGAATAAACTATTCTCGAAACTGAGAATGTTTTGATCAAAGCTGTGTAAATCGAGCTGAGACTGTGCATGGAACCTTGCGTTTCCTGTATTTATCTCACCTATTGTATGGAATATGTGTGAAAATCTTCATTATGAATCGGTATATTTCAAAGAGCTACACAACCAGCAAGAATACTATTGACCGACAATATACAGAACGGGGGCAACTGTAGTGTCAACTATTACTGACTAGTATATTATGCAGACATTTTTCTTGGCTCAAAATTTCTCTCTGTTATTGCATTCAGTCGACTATTAATTTAGTTTAGCTGCTGTGAGACCAAACGAAGTTGCGTTCTTTTTTATCGTAGTTTCTTTATATTGCTCGTTCAGAAGAGGTGGAATCTGATAAACTTCAGCCAGTATTGTTTTCACAGTGCTGACAGGCAAAGGTTTAAAAATATCGTGTGATGTATTCGAACTTCCGTTTTTTGACTTACCTCCTAGATCACAGCAGCTTCTGTACGCGCTTAGATCAATGGCTTTAGCAGTAGCATAACTCCCATAGAGTGAATTACAATGCATGGCCCCCATGAACCGTAATTTGGCTTCTTCGGTGTTACAAATATTGGGAAACCAGTCTTCTGCAGAAATTCCAAACGTCTTCTTCCACTGCGTAGTTCCTTCAAGAACTGCGGTTTCTAAATTTCCAAACATACGATATGTCGTTTTGTTCCTCATTGCGATCATATCTAGATACGAATCTGGACTGTCTTTGGTGAGAAATTTAGTGGCCATTTCAGAATTACTGTACAACCACTGGTCACCCTGTTTGAATTTTTCTAGCAATTCCATTGCCACAAGGGTGTCCATGAGACGTGTAGTGGCGTCAAGATCGGAGGACAATGCCTTTGTTATTTCGTCGGCCGATTGTGGTGAGGATGCGGAGCACAGTTTGTCGAAGACTCCAAATTCACATGCTGCAAATAGCGCTTTAGACAGACGAAAACCGTCTAGTAGCCCATGAAGCTTCTCTGGCATAGGAGAAGGAACTTGAAATTTTTTTGTTTCGCTCATTTTGTCTTTTTTTTTTTTTTTCAGAAAGACGCGAGCTGTTATCCCGAACGCTATGTGTTATACACTGCGAGCAATGAAATCCGAGCCACCTAGGTTCTGCCTTCAACGTCATCAACCCTTACGTTCAAAATATGCCATAATCATATTTATCTATATCCCAACCACCCATACAGCGAAACCTCTACTTAAACTGTAGGTTCTGAAAAGATATCGTATGGTTCGGTGTCAAGTGCTTGTAATCGGAGGAGATATTGGCCAGAGTGCGTCGTGTGTGTAAATAGAACATTTTGTTTTTCTGGCGCGATGACAGGGCGCAGTTGCTCAAAGGCCGATTAGTGCTTAACCCGGGATTCTTTTTCTTTCTTCAGAACATTTCTTCGGATAATTTTCTCTGTTATTTTTAAGAGCATCCAGTCATCAACTTGTTGACAAAATGAATTAAATTGAATTTACTGTTTTAAAAGCTTTCACACCTGAATTCAAACTTCGCACCAACCCTGTGAGAGCCTTCAATAGCCTGCAAAGCAGGCGTATTTTGGAGCGGGATCCATGTTGTCCCGTCATCTTGGACGTTAATACTACCAGAGAGTTGGGATGGGTTTAAAATAGGGGAGGGGAAGGGAGGGGAGGGAAAAAGTTTTCTCCTCTCTCCTCCCCGCCCCTCCCCCCTTCCACCGCCCCTCCCCCTTAGTCTTTTTCGTTGCTTTTCAAGATGGCGGCTATGATCAATGTACCTCCGAGTTTTCGTTAAAAAACGCCTGCTCTGCTCTGCAGGATAAGCCTTCAATGGAATGTGTGTGCGGCTCACGTCAATAACTTTTCAAGTAATTTGGTCGAGCGTGTTGATTTCAGTGACTCGAGAGTGGCGCTACTGTGGGCTAGTTTATAAGTTTTTCCTTATAAATAACATAGAGTTAAAGAGTTTGTTTGTCCGGTGCCGAAAATATCACAAGTCATGATCAAATGGCGCCGCCGAGCTTCACATCTCGGTAGATTTACTTTGTGGCACAATTAACGGCTGCCGTGCTACACAACTCGGTAGATTTTCGTGACACAACGGCCGCCGAACTAAACCCGGTTTGATGCATGCACCAGGAGCAGACATTTTCCAAAGACAGTGACGAACCATGCTGAAAAATATGAAGGTTTATAATCCAAAGTAAAATTTAACAGCAAACTTCTGAAAGATGAACGCTTTGGACGATTCAGCAAACACAGATCGATGAACGCTTTACGAAGACAGAATATAAGAGCTCAGCAAACCTTTGAAAGATTAACGCCGAGGACAGAAGAATCACTACGTGAGTTAGCGCGTCAAAGTGAGGCAAAACGTAAGCAAGCGCCTCAAAGCGAGGCAAATGTGTGTCGACGACGAAAATGTAATCTCAAAAAATCCTCCCTTGTTAATTGCACAGGACACCCAATAATGCACATAACACCTAACACTAATTAGGGGTTACGTTCTCGTGCCTCGAACGCAATAAGGACGAATAAATTAACAAGGAATCCATCATGTGAGCCCGACAAAATAAATGTCAAATTTCACAAGAATTGGGAAAACATAGGTAAAATTCTGAAAATTTCATGTGTAAGATGTTATTTTGTACAATTTGACATACGTTTTCTCGGGCTTCCATAAGAAATTTTCTTTGGTGTTATTACAGATAACTAATTACAAATTACGAATTATGTGTGAAACAACCACTTCCATTTAGCTTTAATTCGTCATTCCCTTGAAAGTATATTTCTTCACATGTTCATATTTTACAATTCTGTACTCTGTTTTAAACCTAAAGAATTCATCAACATCAATTCGCGTAAAGTTTCGATGATCTACACTCAATCTACACACTCGATCAGCTCCACGACTCCGAACGACTACGCAGTTCCTAGACTCTTGTACAAAGTTCAGTTTTCAGATCACGTGACGAGTTTTCCCGCTACAATGACGCAATAATTTCCGAACGCCCCGTGGGCGCCCTTTGAAAGACCTCGTTTAGAGAGAAAAGTTGTCTAATGGGAAAGAGGTTAAGCCTGCCAGCCTCCCAGTCAACTTAGGTTATGTTCACACTACACAGTGATGGCTTTCTCGCGGCGCCACTCAAAGCTATCCGTTATAGTGTGAACATCTATCCATTATGTGACTCTCCTCTTTAGAGATCGGCGCCGCGCAGCTTTGCTCCGTCACAGAAATCGCGCCGCCACAACCGTTCCAGTAAGCTATTTGAGGTAGTGAAGCGCCACCTTGCAGATGTTCATGTACACGCAGACAATGACCAGTTATGTATCTCATTTAAGCCTGGTTCCAGTGCGAGTAAATTGGAAGCGGTAACTACATCACAAGATTGCATTCCAGACATCAAGACTTGGATGACGGCTGACAAACGTAAGCTAAATGATGACAAAACGGAATGAAGGACAAGATAACCATATCAGAACTCAGTATTGATCACGTGAAAGTATCTGCAGTATACAACGTTCGGAACCTAGGGACGCGGTTCAACAACCATCTGAGCATGAAAACCGCCATCAACAAGACATGTCAATCGGGACTTTACCATCTGAATAATATTGGGCGCATTAAAAGATTTCTTAGCTTTGAAGATAGAAAGTTGATTGTTCAGGCAATAGTGATGTCGAGAATAGATTATTGCAATAGCCTATTGTATGGTGTTGCCGCTACGAACCTTAGCAAGCTCCAACGGGTGCAAAACGCGGCAGTCCGATTGGTGTGCTCATTGCCAAGACATGAACACATCACATCATCATTTATACGTCTTCACGGGCTGCCGATTAATTTTAGAATCAATTTCAATATTGCTATGCTCTGTTTCAAGTGCATTCACGGTCAAGCCCCAGTTATCTAAAAAGCATGGTCGCCAACAAGAAGACTTCGACATACAACCTCCGCTCATTCACCAGTATCCAGTTGGAAGACTTTTCTCGACGATCGAAAAAAACGCTTAGCGATCGAGCCTTTTCCAATGCATCCGCCAAGATCTGAAATAGTCTCCCGCAATCATTACAGCAAAATTTCAACACCTTTAAGACATTGCTTAAAACTAAGTATTTTACAGAAGCGTTTAATTTAACATTTCTTTTTAGTGTTTCATATAGTGTACATCTTCGCATTTTATTGTAAATGCAAAATTGTAAATAGTTAACATTTAAGCAAACAATAGAAAAAGAAAACTAAGGTAGTACGCGCGCTCTGATTGGCCGAGAGGAGTGTTTGCATGAGAGTATGTAAACATGGTTGTGGCGTCAAGATGTTTTGCTTTTCGCGCGCTAATCACGCAAGCACAAATTTGAAAAAGGTTTTGAGTTGAAAACCTCGACAATTTACCCATTCCTTTGTCGGCTAAAACATGGAAAATCGTTACAAAGAAGGTGAGTCAATTTTTCTTCGCTTAAGCTGACATTTTAAGCCAGAAAAATCCGTATTTTGCAAAGCATGTTTTTGCAAAACAAGAATTGATTACTCGTGCAAGACTTCGTGGACAAGATTTTGCGACTGGTAAGAACTTCTCTTTTAATCAATGCCATACAAAGAGTTTTGCGTTTTTTTCTCGGGAAAATTATTTTATAAAAGCAATAGAAAACTTTTTTCCTGTGTTGTGTTTCGGGTTTGCATAACTGTCTCGAATTCTCCCAACCCCTCTCGTGTTTATATCAGGCTATGCAGACACGGAAAACGTTTTCTATTGCTTAATAGTAATTTCGTATTCAATTTTAAAATGTAAAGCGCATTTTATCATATCCTCCTGTCTGTTAATTTGCGCTATATAAATATTATGTATTATTATTATTATTATTATTATTATTACTGTGTGTGAACAGAAGCCCCACCCAGTATGATTTTCATGGCGTCCGGTATAGTCAGGGGCACCCAACGAGAATATAGTTCAAAACCACTTAAACATTGCATTGTTGAACGTATTTTAGTAGTTAAACTGTAGATATAGGTATATTTTTATCCCCTAAAATTTTTTCATCTGTTCGGATTTCCGAACTGAAAGTCTAGTAATCCGAAAATTATAGGGATCAAAACTTACCTTTTCGAAAATTTCAGCCAGAAAAAAGGCTTCCGAAAATTCTAGGTGACCTTTTTAGGATAAAAATCCGTTAAAAATGGACAATTATACTAGTTTTTAAATGTTCGAAAATCCTAGGAGAGGCAGGCAAGCAAGAAATTTTACAACAAATGTTCCGAAAATTCTAGATTTCAAATCGTCTTCCGAACAGATATTTTCCGAAAATTGACGTTGGGTGCCCCTGTATAGTACCCGAGCCAAGAGCTGATAACAGCGTTAGCGTATTCTTTATCTTAAAAAGTGAATTTGTACTCTTTTTTATTACCAAATGACTTTGACAAATGTAAGGGAACCCGCCAACTAAACTGGAATTCCTAGGGACCATATCTAAGTTCGAAAAGAGAAACCAAATTTTTGTTGTTGCCTGTTTACGTACTCCATTAGGGACCGGTCTTTATATATCGCCTTTTGGGGGGGGGGGGGGGGGGGGG